GGCGTCCAGCAACATAGAGGGTTTTCCAGTGAAGTAAATCATCAATCAGGGTATCAGTGCTAATTACACCATATTTTATCATCTGAAAAAAAAAAAAGCATAGTAAAGGTTTTTGAATAACAATATAGTTGCACCATTTTTGTTCTGTGAAACTTAATGCTACAACTGTCATTAATTCTAAGAAACATACACAGCTAGTAAAGAGCTATATGCATAAAATTAAAACATTTTTTCTTTAACAGTTTTTGCTCTTAAGTATTTGCAGATTTTCTTGCAATACACCTTGACCACAAAAGCTTCTCTTTATTAACACCTAGAGAACTGCTCTGCAAGAAGAGGATTATACAAACAAGAGTCACATAAGTGGCACAGCTCCGTAATAGGTTTGGGGCTTTTTCCTTAATTTACTAGAAAAACAATATGAATAGCAATATTGATAGCAGCATTGCCTAAAAAAATGAACTCCTCCATCCCCTGCCTCCTATCTGCACTCTTACTTACCAGATACATTCTACACATAGTCCTTATGTAGGACTTGCTGGACAAGTAACTGCTTACCTGGAATTATAAATTGTAACCACACCTGAAAAACCAGGATGTTAGCCATTAGACAACAAGTATGTCAATTACAACTTCCTACATTAAATATATTCTTTTTATGTCAAACACTAAGAATTCAGTTCACTATTACTACGTAGTCAGCTGCTAAGTTTAAGTCTGTACTTCCCCATACATACAACAGGAATACACTTCACAGTACTGGCAAACTGCAAGTGATACAGAATGTAAACTCAGACTCACAAATCTGGTGTTTGTGAAATAGTTTGAGATCTCAAAATCAAAAATATCACCAGTTAAGCTGCAATCCCTCAGATGTGCTTAAAGCAGACTTTCATGCAGGAAGCAAATCACTTCAATACTTCACACGCTGATATTTCACTTTCCTAAAGTCATACTCACCCTGCCATTGCACGGCACTAAAGTATTGTAGTAAATCCCTGCTCCATAGCTCTGTATATTACTTATCTGCTTTGGCCCAAAGACTTTTAGGAAAGAATAATGACTCTTGTTCTTTAACAGGTTCATCATGTGCCAGGTCACAGAATCATCAACCGCAAACACAAAGTCCAGCATATTGTTCTGTGGATACAGAGAAAAGGACTGGTTTTCCAACGTCAGTAAGCAATTCACGTTGATCACATTCATCTAACATGTGCACAATATATAGATACCAGCTAATTACTGTACACGTGAGTAAAAAAATACAACACACACACGCCTTGAGGCTGGACAGCTTAAAGGCTGTGTGCTTACACACTCCGGGCTGCACCTTAGCTGAGCAGTTACTACTAAGTAGCGAACTGCCTCACTTCCACTTCTTTTTTGTGAGAGCATGAAATCCTCAGAGCTCTTAAATTCCTCGCTTCGCTACCAGTAAGGGCTTGTTTTCGCTTTCGGCTTCTTTTCGCTGCCCGCTCCCGCGCTTCAGCCTCTCGCACGGCGCTTCAGGCTCCGCACGGCGCCGGCCGCCTCCAGCAGCAACACGGCCCGTGGCCACAGCGGCCTGCGCCCGCCCAGCCGCCCGCCGCGCTCACCTCGCTGTGCCCGGCCGAGGCCCCCTCCTGCCGGAAGACGCCGGAGCCGTAGGCGAACGCCAGGCTGAGCTCCTGCGGGAAATGCGCCAGGACCCGCCTGAACCTCACCCCGGAGCTCGACAGCACCGGCAGCGCCATGCCGCCGCCGCCGCCGCCCCTCCCCGCCGCCGGCTGCGGCGACGGCCTCCGCCTCCTCGCCGCACAGCGCCCCCTGCCGCCCGCCGCCTTCCCGCCCGGCTCAGCGCCTCCGTGCCGGGGCGCCCCGTAGCGGCCGCGCTGACGGAGCCGCGGCCGCCGCCTGCCGGCACCTCGGCGCTCTGCTCAGGGCGGGCGGCGGCGACCTCAGCCCAGGGACGGGCGTAGTGCCGCAGAGCAGCGCGATGGCGTCTTCCCGCCCGTGAGGCGCCCTGAGGTGCCCTCCCGAGGTGTTGTCCCCGTCCCCTCATCTCTTCCACACTTTGTGCTGATCGAGGCTTTCCCCAGGAGCCGGTGTCGGTTCTGCGATCCTCCACACTTCTCCCCTGCTCAGAAAACAGAAAGCCCACAACGTTTAATCACCACATTTTGCTCTCCAGCTCACGCTCTCTTGTGTATGAAACACTCTGCTGAGTCTGTCTTGGTTTAAATTTCCAAGTTCTGTATAATTAACTCAATGAGAGTATTGAATTCATTAAAAAAACAGTGTTTAAGGTGGAAGCACGTCTTGTTTATGCTTTCCCCACACCTGCTTTCCTTAGGATCGCATTACCCTTGTTTTTATGGCTTTCAGTTGATCCCACAGGGACACCGGGCTGAGAAAACAAAGGCATCACCCAGTGCAAGGCATGGGCCAGCCTGATGTCAGACCTGTGCTAAAGCTGGAGCACGTGATGTCACCTTCAGACATGGCTGGAGTTATGCATTTGCTCAAAACAAACATTACATGCGAGAAGAACTGTAATTATTACAGAAAACAGAGAACACGCACGTGGGCTTGGCCATTATGAACAGTGGAAGGAGCAGCTGAGGTGAAAGGAACCCTCATGACTGCTGGCAAATGAAGAGTTTTCATACACAAGGCTGCTGCCATCAGAAAACTGCAGGCGACCTCCTCCGCTCCTTGGAAGCTTTATGCATCACGCGGCTCAGTCAAAGCCTTCCTTCTGAAGTCTCCATTCTAAATACTCGATTTCAGATGCAAAACAGTTTACTAAAGGAACGTGTATTTAGACTGGAAATGATTAGGTTTCTACTAACTGAATTTTTACTATTCTGATTTTTAAGGTCACAAAGGATTATATCAACAAGGTCCCACTGTGGGTGGGGTTTGGAAGCATTTCAACTCAGACTCTGATTCAGAACCCACAGGTGTCTTTCCATTTAACTTCTTGTAAGGCAGATCACAGACCTTGTTCTTTCCTTGGTAAAAAATTCAAGGCTATCAGTTAACTGTTTATGACTCAATTACTTCAAGGCAAACAATAAAAAGAGCAGTAATTTTTCCTGAGTTTGCATTTGGAAGTCTTTCCTACTACTTCAGTTAGCAGAAGATTGTGTTACTTTGGGAAGAGGACCTGGCCTTATAGAACACCACTTACGGGGCATACAAAGAAATATTTTAGGCAGGCTATTTGATATGTGTCATCCTGTCTAAAACATTGGGGTGAAAGTTATATTAGGTGATAATTCATCCAATTAAGTACAGGCTTTACACAGATTTTTAACTAGCTGTAGTGATTTGACAAATTGTTAGGCATCAGAGGGAATAAATGCACTAAATGCTCGATTTTCCTGTATATCTTCTGAATCTAAGAAGAGTCATTCTTAAACCATGGGACTGTGTTTGTTGCATGCTGTTATAAGTGGTACCTCCTGGCTGGTTAGTAAACAGTTTAATTAAGGATTTAAATAAGCTAACAGAGAAAAGTGGTATTAGTTATTGACATTGCTCAAATACTTCTTCCTAAAGCTCTCAAAGTATTATAGAAAAAGCATTCAAATATTGGCATTCATTTATTGGCCAGGCTTATTTTCTAATCTCTACTCACATTCTTTATAGCTACCTGTAAACTCTGAAAAAGATCCATAATTCTCCATCAGTGATTTTGTTTAAAAAAAGATCAGAAGAGAGCAGAACACAACAGCTCGCCATTAGAAGAACATTTAGTTTTAAGACTAATAGCTTGTGATTTGGAACGGATTTTTGACAGTCTATGATGAATTTCTCTAAAATTTGTGAAGTTATTTTGTGTCTCATACCAACTTTGAACTTGGCCTCTAATCTGTTTTCAATTTAACTTTTACTTTGCTAACTCTGGTAAGAAAATCTGCAAACACCAGAAGGTCTTAAGTTTCATTTACACTTTCAGCCAGCCCTGCTGTTGGAGGGAGCAGTTTTCTTCTACCCACTTTTACCAGTGTAGGTGTTTGCGTGGCTGCATATCAGAACAGATTGGAAAATTGATGTGGGTTAAAACCAACTTTTTTTTTGAAATTAGTTTTAACCAGGTCACCAATGTTGTGTTTTACCACATGTTTGTGCTGGTGGAAATGAGAGACAGTTTCTTCTCCTGCTGACAGTGCTAGTTTGAAAGATATGTGTACTGTTTTTTTTTTCTAAAATTTTCTCACTTAAAATCTTGTCTGTGATTGATTCCATGCATTGAAGTTGTGTGAGGAAGGATACAATACATCATATCACAGTTGTCTTTTGCTTTTATTCCTTCTTTTTCAGTCAAGCAAGTTCTGATAGTGCAGTTTATTTCTCATGAGAAGGTACAACAAAGTCTGAGCTTTTTTTTCAGCTTTTGCCACTGGCAATAAAATGCGTACAGCCCCCACATGACTAGAGATCTCATTTGTAAGTGTAAGCTTTCATTTCTATTGTACCATTGTGTTCCCCAGTTCCTTAGAGTAAAGGAGTCTCACAGATGTTGGCTCTGTTCAGTGTGTGAATTCCAAGTGGTATATGCTGTTCAACACATATGCTAAGCCTAACATTGTAGAATGTTTCAGTGTTAGCTCTTCACAGTCTTATCTTAATGCCAGAATCCTCACTGCTGATTTAAAATTAACTGTTCTTATGAACTTCATTCTGAATATGTCCTATCAATTCATGAGTTGATCTGATAGCTTGGAACTGGATTCATCAAATCATCTTCTCCACAGTGTCAGAAATGCTGCTTTGAAATTAATGTACCTCACCTGTGATAGTGCTGCTTACTAAAAAAACTTTCTGTTCATTTTCTGATTTCATCTCCATGGACCTTATGAAAGCTATTAAATATCTAAAGGGTGGGTGTCAATAGGGCAGGACCAGGCTCTCTGCAGTGGTGCCCAGCAACAGGCACAAACTGGAACATAGAGAAGTTCCATACCAACATAAGGAAAAAATTCTTTACTTTGAGGGTTACAGAGCAGTAGAACAAGCTGCCCAGAGAGGTTGTGAAGTTGCCTTCTCTGCAGATATTAAAAACCTGTCTGGATGCTTTCATGTGCAACCAACTGCACAGAATCTGCTTTGACAGAGTGGTTGGACTGGATGATCTCTAGAAGCTCTTTCAAACCCCAAGAACACGTTGATTCTGTGATATTCCTCAAGCAAACAATGTTGTGTATTTCATCATAGAGGAGGACCTGTTCTGCTTTTCCATAGTATGTATCTCTTGGAGATGGCAACTTCCTGTGAGCAAAGAATTACTACTTGTATTTTTAGCCATTATAACAGTATTAACAGCAATTTTCACAGCGTCAGCATCTGGCACCAGAAAGTTGTATCATATTGTTTCTTTTAAAACTGTCTATGTTTCTGTGCTTGTTATTTTAATTTCTCCATTTGTTACACTCTTGTTTGTTTGTTGAAAAGCATGGAGTATATTAATTCAGTTGGTGAAGCTGCATGTAAGCATGAATGGCCTTACTGTTGGTATACGTTAACAACAAACACCACCAGATGCCCCCTGTTCCTCTCTCAGGTTAGAGCTGGCTCCTTGTAATTACCTCCTGTAGATCTTAACTGAAAATGCTGTTTTTTTTCCTGCAAGAGAATGGGAGAGGACCACGAATCTTTTTTCCTTAGGTTTGAAGAGGTTAGGATGTAATGCCACTTGGAAGTGTTTAGGGAACCTGTGCTATGTGTTGATATATATTTAGTAAAGCTTTCTCTTTGTAGTGGAAATGCAAGTCACAGCTAGAACCAGTGACTGAGCACGTGGTGGGAAGGTGGGGCCAACCCAGGGGAGCTCAGGTGTATGCAATGTACCTGAGAGACCAGAAGGGGTGTAGCCAGGATCCACCCCTTCCCAGACCTCATTTAAGGGTTGGCAGCAGAGATGAGAGCATCTTGTTTGGAGATCCCTGCCTGACTAGGATGCTCACGGGCCTTTCAGAGGTAAGTAGGTTCTTTATTTTTATTTCTGATCTGTTATGTGTGAGTGGGTTCTTGCTCATTGTGGCCTGGAACCTTGCTGCTCTGTTGTGCTTTGCATCATGTTACACCATTCCATCTTTCTTCCTATGGGCTTATTTGTGACCCTGTGACTCTCCACTATCCAAGGCTTTTCCTTCAAACAAGGACAGAGGTGTAGCTCAAAATTTCTTGGCATCTCTTCCAGTCATGTTGCTAAAACCAGCTTAGTCGTCAGCATCACCAAAATGGGAGACTGTTATGAAGCATGCTTAAAATAAGTAAATTGATTGCTACCTGGCAATGATAATAACAAAGATAATGAAAACCAAAAATTGTTTAAAAAAACTAGTTAAGAATTGAAATGCTGGCACTCCTTGTAACTCCAGTTCTGTTGTCTTATTCTAGTTAGGAAGTTCAGTAGCAGACTGGCAATGTAAGGAAAACTTTATTTTACACATCAGCACTGACTCTTATGGAACGCAGTGAAACATCATGAGACAAAAACTATGTTTTTTTCTTGTAGGTGATGTACTGCAGGCAGTTTCACCCCAAGCTATGTAGTTACTTTAATCACAGTAATATTTAATCTTTGAGAAACTGACTTCCATATAAGACCAAATATTCCTTAATATCCTTATTATCCTTATCTTATCAGTTAAGATCCTGTGGTAGCTGGAAGCCACTTTTTTGCACAGAAAAAAATCAATAGCACTCACTTTTTCACTGAATGCTTTAAATCACCATCCCACTTGATAACTTCAAGGGAAGTTTCTTTATTTTCTGTAGTTGGGTAAGAGTAATAGGGAAAGTCAACATACACTTCAGGTTTTTATACTTTTTACGTTCCTCTTCTGTGGAGTTACCAGACAGTAACAAGCCAAGGTGTTCCCTTGTGCCATTATTACATGGAACAATTAGGAGGCATAGGTTATCCCAAGTTCATTGTTTCCTATCTAAGCACTCTTGAATTATTAACAACCCTGGCTTTGGAAAGGTAACAGAGCTCCAGCTTTATTATCAGTGATGCAAAACTAGAGTAATACCAGCTGGTGACTTGTTGGCAGTAGTAAGGTAAATAATGAAACACCTCCTGGAAGTGACATCAGTAGCAGTTACAGTGGTAATAGTGCTTCCAGGGACATTAACAATAATAGGATGTTTCCTGATCATCTTTATTTTTAATCTTTTTTGTCAGTAATTCCAATTGAAAGAGTATATTTCATAATAAACCACAATGTTTATTAAGGACTTGGTTTTCCTGTTATATGCTTAATGGCCAGATATATTGGTCTGAGGGTGTAATGAGGTGAGGTTCTGAATGTCTGCTATTATATTCTGCAGTGTTTCCTTAGTGTCTCTGTGAATTTGAGTTGATAAAGGTTGGATTAATTCAGCCACTTTTCATTACATAACAGTTTTTGAGTGTGAGAATCTGTAACTTGTAGATACTGTGTGATGGAGAAACTTCATTTTGCAACAACTTCAAGTGTTTTTAACTACATAATTATTACCAGTATACTAGTACTTTGAATCTGTTGATAACTGAAGCACTTCTACCTTCAATGCAGTAGGTTATTTATTAGCCTAATAATTGTAACTGTTCTAAGTCATCTATTTTCATAATCTCTATTTCTTAAGCAGCATTGAAATTCCGTGCAAAAGAAAAAAAAAAAAAAAGGATTATTAAGCTGAATAAACAACTAATGATGCTGAAAAATACACTGCAGTGATATTTTAAGCTAATGCTTGTGTGGGCTGCGTAAAATCACGATGAGATTATCTCCCACAATCCTTTTTGCAGCCTTAATACTAAACAAGTAGTTTACTGCTGCTTTCCTTTACCTGGCCAGGCCAGTTAAACCCTTCAGGTCCCAAAGTAAAGATGGTGGGGAACAGGAGTGCATAATGGGATGAGTGAAGGTGTGGTGTAGAAAGTGACTGATACACAATCTTCAAGGACCCTTTAGGGCAACTTAATTTTTCACAAAAAGTTCAGCCTTAATCAGGAGAACGCTTTTGTTCTTCATAGTTTGAAGTGTTTTATCCTTTCTGAGTTCTAGTCTGGGGTTGTCACGTACTAGATTAGGATGCCAAGGGCCCCATCCTACCTGGCCTTGAGCATCACCAGGGATGGGGCTCTCACAGCTTCTCTAGGCAGATTATGCCAGTGCCTCATCACCCTCTGAGTGAAGAGCTTCTTATATGTAAATCTGCACTCTAAGTTTAAAGTCCTGTCTTATCGCTACTCCCCTTGAAAGTGTCCCTCTCCATTTCCTTGTAGCCCATCCAGGTGATGAAATGCCACAGTCAGGTGTCCCAGAGCTGCCTTTTCTCCAGGCTGAGCAGTGCCACTTCTACTCAGTCTTTCTTCATGGGCGGGATGCTTCAGCTTCTCTGATTGTCCCTGTGGCCTCCTCTGGACTTCTTACAACAGGTCCATGTACTTGCTGTGCTGGGGGACCCCAAAGCTGAGTGCAGTATTGCAGGTGGGATCTGAGCAGAGAGGGAGAGTTTCTTCCCTCACCCTTCTGGCCATGCTAATTTTGATGTAGCCCAGGGTGTGTCTTGCTTTCTGGGCTGCAAGCACACATTGCAGACTGAAGTTGAGCTTTTCACACAGTAAACTCACAAGTCCTTCTACACAAGGCCCTCTATATCCACTCTTTGCCTAGTCTGTGTTCATATTTGAGATTGCCTCAACCCATGTTCAAGAGTTTGCACTTAGCATATCTGAACTTAATGAGGTTCACATGGGGCCGTCTCTTATTTTGTTTTTCATGGGAAGACCTTGTAAATGTTGTGATTGTATCTCAGTTTAATCTGATGTAATGATTTGAACTGTTGTATGATGCACAGAACAAAAATTTCTATTCCTTCTGGTCTCACAGTGTTCCTGAAATTTTCTGTACTTTTAAAATTTACTTCTTGGACTTGTTTGACATCTGTGTTGTCAAACTCAAAAGTTTGACAAACTCCCTGCAAGCCATGGAAGCAGGAGTGCTTTTTATTTAAATAAATTAAAAAAAACACTTGCCATGAAGAATCTTGAATATAGGTGAGAAATCATTGTTTTTTAGATATCTCAAGTTTTGGATAAATTGCTCTATTTGCTGGGTTCCTTAATGACCGAAGCAATTACTTGTTTTCAGGAGAGGGAAAAAAATCTTACTCATCCTAATTATCCATCTTATTCTGGAACAAAAGTAGTTCTTGTACATGACTGTTCGTGGAAAAGCAGACATTAAAAGCAGTTCTGTTAGTCACTACTTCTAAGTTAGCACAGAAGGTTCTCAAACTGAATCAAGAAGGTGTCAGCTGCATGTCTGGGTATTTTTAGTGCCTTTCTTAGGCTCTAATTAGTGATGTCTTAAAGCACACTCAAAATTCAGATGATTCCTGGACTGTTTATTTTATGTCTTCATAGTAGATGAGAATAACAAATTGTTGTAAGCAGAAAAAAATCATGCATTTGTCTTTCATGCTAGAATCTGTAAGTTCTCCTAAGGGTATGGGTTGACTTTTGTAAAGCTTAAAAGACTTGTGGCAGCAGCTCTTGAAAGGGTCACTCTGTGCTGTCAGGAATTAGATGTGTACTGATCTTTGAGGAAACTGAGGCTGCTTTTGTAGGCTTGGGCAGAGTTGTACAGCTCTGTCAAGTTTTTCACAAAGGAAATCAAATGTATGGCACTTCATTAACACTGCGTGAATCCTATGCATATGTGGGACAGAAATCTTTGATATGTAGCTTTGAGTCCTTCCTATAGCAAGCTGCTGTTAACCCTTGTTTTCCAGGTAAGTGATTATACCAGCAAAAGCACAGAAGTTAGTATAGCTGCTGTGCCTCCTGTCGCTGGTCTCTGCCTATGTAGGAGGCTTAGTGCTCAGGTCTGTCTTGCTGCTGTCTTCCAAGAGAACAGAAATGCCATCACTTAAAACACAAGTTTTCAGAATAAAATGCAGTTTCCCAAAATACTGCATTGACTGAGTAGTTCACCCACTTTAAGCCAAATTTGTGAAGAATTCAAGCCAATTAAGCTGGCTCAGATTTTGCTTCCTTAAGACTGTTCCATTCCAGAGCTAGAATCAATGTCAAGTGTTTCTATTGACATTTTGGGAACTATATATACACATTTATAAATATGTGTATTCCTTCATTAAAGGTAAAAGCATTGGTGTTTATGAATACCTTCAGAGTTGGTTTTAAAGCCCTCTGTGCCCTGCAGAGATTTAGTTTTCAAAAAAAAAAGTATGTAGTTTAAATAATAACAAAAGTTAATTGGCAATGAAAGATGTATCTCAGCTTGGCACTGAGTGATTTTTTTTTTTTACATGATGACGTGCATAGATTCTCAGACAAAAATGGATCACAAAGCAAATGATTTTTTTCATTTACAAAGAACACTGGGGAAAAACAGAGCTGCAGAATCCAAAATATGTTTCCAGTGAGTAAATGGAAGGAAGTATATTAGAGTGGTCTTCAGCAGAAGGCTCCTTACTGTGTTGTGAAGTCTGCTGAGGTCTCCTCTCAGCAGATGTGAGCCATCAATTCTATGAGTTTGTTTTGCCTGTAAATAACAAGCTGTGGAGTGGAGAGTAAGAGCTGATTTTTACATGGCTTCTGGTTATGCAAAACAAACTTCTTTGCCTGTGATATACCCCATGAACATACAGTAAAAAACCTAAGCTGTTAGAAAATTACCATAATCAGCTTATTTTGGTAGTACTGTGAGCAATAGCTCCTTCTCAAGTCAGTCGTATCCTCAATGCAGCTCTAGAATGAAGTATATCAAAGTAATGCATTAAAAAGAATTTTTTTTTGCTGAAATGAAAGGGAATTAGTCAAATGCCACAGAGCATCTTGAGTATCTGTGGTATAGCTATAATTTAAAATACAGTCACAGATTCACTTTGTATTTAAGCATTGAAAATTCAGGTATTGTGTATTCTGCAGGTAGGAAAGATTAATTTTGGATTCAAACAAATACTATGTCTTTCTTGGGGTACTTTCCATTTCATGAGGTTGCTGGTGTTTTATTTCAGTACTGTCCTTTTCATTTTTCCTCATTCCTTCTTATTCTCTTTCTTCAGTGCACCCTAACCCATCCCTTCATCTGTCTGCTTCATTGCAAGCTTCTCCTTTTCCCCCTCAGAATTTAACAGCCTATAACAGACATTTCCCTGGAAGCAACAACACTTCTGTCTGTTAGACAGGTGCTTTCTTGGCCCCATCCTCACTGACCAGTGCAAATGCAGGGGGGAAAGCAAAAGAAACACTGAGTTGCAGCTCTAGACAGGAAAGCAATACTTGGCTCTTCACCACATTCTCTTTGTAAACACAGTTTTACACTCTTGTTTCTAGCAGCCATGGAAACCTTCCAGAAAGGTGAGATATGAAGTCCAGGTGGAATATTCCTGGGATTTCTCATGTCGTCTTTAAGGATGGTTGTCAGGAACTGAGCTCGTGAATGACAATACAGAACCATATAAGCTTCCTAGCAAGCTGCTCCTGCATACAAGAATGCACTACACAAAAATGCTCTGAGATCCAAAAATATAACAAAAATATACCTTGATATTATCTAGATGCACTGCTGAGAAAACAGACTCTTTCAAAACTGTGAGGGCAATCTAGTAGTTGTGGTCACAGTGTGTTACACTATGGAAACACAGCCTTTACGTGTGAGTCGGGCTTTCTCAGTCGCAGGTTTCATAGGTTTTGTTCATGAAAAAACATCTGTTGTCTTTCATATTAAAAAAAAAAAAAACCCACAAAACTCCAGGTGACTTTTCTCATCTATTGTGAAATTTTCCATAGAGTTCCAGACTATTCCATGGCTGAAAATTACAGCAACGAGAGCAATTCTATCCCCTGCCCCACGGTATTTACTGTATTTGAACAATATCAGATTCAATGGCTTCCTGAAGTAGCTTTTTGTTGTTAGCGACAACAGAAGTATCATTTTAGCCATTTACCTTGTGGTCAGTCCATGTAAGCCTTGTTACAGCACATGATTTAATAATTAATATAGTTCTTTTTCTAAAGTTTCCTTTTCTCATTTAATTTTAAAAGAAAACTGGTGGTGATCAAATATATAGAGATTAAGAAATTGTGATAAATGCATTTTTCTCTTGGTCTACCTTGCATACAGACAGTCTTATACTTTTTTTTAAACAAAAACCTTCAGATTCATAATCTGATGTTTTCCTGAATTGAATTTGTTTTTGATTTATTCAGAAGCAGATTGTATAACTTCATTAAAACTTTATTTTTACTAAGATTGTTTTTCATTGAAACCAGTATGGAGGTGGGCTATGGGTTTGGTATGGGTGGTTTTTTTTTTTTCTTGATCTGTGCCTGCATTGCAAGACATCCTCATGATTTAAATGTATGCTTTCATTTCACGCTGTCTTGAGTGACAAGGAAACAGACAGAATTTCTTCTCATGCTTATCTATCAGGTTTCATTACTAAAATCCTGTGGCTTTCAAATGCAAAATAAATTCTTGTCCTGTAAGATTCTTTTGCAGTGAGAAATCATTTGAGAAATGTTAGTGTACTGGGTAGCAAGGAGGTTTCAATATCCAGTGAGTGTTATATAACTTATTTAACAGTATTATTTCAGATGCCTTGTGAAGTTGTATTCAGCCAGTAAAGATTTTATTTTTACCTTCAGTTGCTGAGTGTCTTGCTGATTCACTTCTGTTAAAACTTAGTCTGCTCAACATGAACTTGAAAAGAGTAATCAGTTTTGCAATTGTTGATTGTGCATCGACTCAATTCCTCTGTTTAAGAGTGCTGTGAAAGCTGTGTAAGTGAAATAAACTCTGTTCCCATAGTAACACATACAGACCAGAAGAACTTCCAGATTATGTAGAATCCTTAAATGCAACATATCAGAAACAAGAAGTAAGGTAGCTTTTCAGTAGTGAATGTAAAGACTAAGACAGTCCATATATAAATGCTGCTGATTCCATTTGATCTTTGCCCTTGTGTGATTGTTCTTGGCAAAAGTCTGGAATCACAGAACTTGTCTGGCTTCACCGCTGAGTTTGCCAAGCAGTTGAGGTTATGACAGTGGCAGTGCATGTGACTCAGTGAGGCCACTGTATGCACCATATATTTTAATATTAAGATCCTGGCAAGAGGATTTCCATGGGGAATTAGAAAAAGTCTGTTTTCTTTATCAACAAGTTGCTCTTAGCCTTTCCATTTAGCCATCCAGAGGCTATGCCTTGAAATTCAAGGGAAGAGTAAAGTGGTCATTTCTTGCTTTTATATTCATGCTATTTGAATGACTGAGTAAACAAGTCCTTGTTGAAAGGTGATCTCAAAGTGCTTATGAGTAGTAGACCTTGCTGGTAAATGGAAGAGTTGCACATCTGCCAGTCTTGTGCAGCAAACCAAGAAAGGTAGACCTTTATCCTTTTTGATGTGCATCTTGATAGAAATGTGTCAGCTGTGAATGAACCTTGATGGAGCCGGAAGGCAAAGGACTGAAAGGGTTCTTATTGGAAAGGAACATGAAGCCAGGTCTTCAGGTAAGAGAAGTAGAAAAGCAGGCATCTCAAACAAATGAAAAATGATATTATTTAGTTTTATACTGTTTTAAAATTGTAATGTGAATGCTATAGTACAGTTCACTGTTATTGGAATCAACTTATGTTGAAAGTCTGTATTAAGAATTACAGAAGTACAGTATATTTAAGATAAGAAACAATGTATGACCAACTCTTTAGTAACTGGGAGCCGACAAGGCTTTTAGTATTTAAACTTCCAGTTTGGTACATAGAATTTATATCCTCTTATATTCTATCAGTTTGTAAGTGGAAAAAGTAGAACTTCAATATTAACCAAAGCTGAAAGTTCATGGAGTTGCACTGGATTAACAGTTCCTTGATAGTGAAGGAGAAAGATCTTGCACTTATCCCCACTTGTTCCTCCTCAGGATCTCACTTGGTTCCTGTTCTCTGGCAGTTGCCTGAAAGCAATGTAGGCTGACTCAACTCCTTCACCAGGAAGGCACTGTGCTCTGAAATCAGATGCCACTGTTCCCATCAGCAGACAAGCACATCAAGTAAGCAATAGTTGTCTGTGTTTGGTGATAGAGCTGGGTGAGAAAAACAAGGTCTTTCAGAGCAGCACAATTTCTTGGCTTGCTCTGGGGAAAAAAAATATTTCAGCTTGGTCTAGGATTCATTTATATCTGTGAAAGTCTCAGTCTCATTAAGAGGCTGATATATGGTTTATAATTAAGTGTCTAGAAAGTGTAGATTATGTTTAGATTAGGCTAGGATTTTCTCTTTTTTTGAGCTTGTGTATAGCTGTGTCGCATTCTTAGCTCTTTAACTGGTCGTGCAGAAAATTACTCAAAATTTCTGATATTCCTGACTGCTTCTGACATGGTCTTGACAGTTAAAATTCATGCTAGTGTATATGCTATTTATAACACACTTGCAACTTCCTACAGTAGTGGAATAACACATTAATTCTAAAATTGATGTATTTTGATTCTCTAGACCATTTATGAGTGGTGAGGGCAAAGTACTTTAGATAATAGGAATGCAAAATCCTATTTGTTAAAGGACCACTTTTTTTGGTCTCCATTTTTCTTTCATTACTCTTTACATCTTGTTTTCCCCAACTGGACAACTATCCATATTTCAGTGTTTCTTCAGGCTCTTAATTCATGCTAATCCATCGCTGAGAATAAAATTCTGCTATCTTAAACTTCATTTAAAAATACAATTTAGAAAACCACTTTTGCTAGGAAACTTAAAACTTACTATGAATTTTAATTAACTATTTTGCTGAATAATTTATGGAAAATATTAATGTAAGTTATTAGCATTTAATTTCCTCCTAACAGGACAAATGTCACTACATCCTGAACATCAAAAATTTGCTTTGTCCTTGGCTTTACATGTAAGGTTCAGACAGTAATAAAGACTGTCCCAACACACAGGTTCTTGGCCTAATAAGTTCATCCAAGTAGCAAGAAGCATGAAAACCCACAACTACATCCTTATAACTCCCATCTTTTTTTGCTGCCTCCCTTTCTATTTGTTAGTTGTGCTTTTTACTGTTGTTGGATGGCATGCATTTATTTCATTTGATGCGTCAGATGATAAACATTAAAAATATCATGCATGCTAGAATTAACGTATTTTCCATCATGCACTGCATTCATTATTTTTCCAGGTATGCTGTGAACAGGTGAGTACTGTAAGGCGAAACAGAAGAAAGTGATCTTGAAATGTTTCAAGTAATTTGCACTCCTATGATCTGCAGGAATTTTGTGTGTTCTCATACAGGTTTGCAAACCTGTATCCCAGACTACACAAATCAATAGGAAATATTTATTATTTTGGTATCCGGGTGATATTTAACTGCTTGTAACTTGTTTGGAATGAATGTCTACAGCAGAACTCTGCCTGCTCTGTAGAACCCAAGGAAGAGTCCATAAAGACACTGCACAGTGAATTTCAATTATAAGGTGTTTAAACAAAGCCTAGAGACACTTATAACAAAACAGATATGAATGTTAAAATGTTCTAAGAAGCACATTAAGTTTCCTTTTTCTTTAAGCAGAAAAATTAACAAAAATGATTTATTTTGCAGGTGTTACAAATTCTAGATAAATACTATAGTTTCTTCCCAGAAGAACAGAATATACTAAAGAAAATGAAGGTCTGTTTGCTGAGTGAAATATGAAGTTGGTATCTGTCAAATCAAACCAGTAAACATGGTCATAATTTCCATGTGGAAAGAAACTTGAATTAGATCCAAAGATTCTCAGGCATTATGATTTAAGATAATTTGTTAGTATAATATGACTAGTTGCATTCTGGTGCATTCAGGAATATCTTTAATTCTTATTTAACATTGTCTACTGCCTTCAGGGTTCTGACTTTCTCATTACCCTGTATGGGTATGAGCTAACAACTCTTGCATCTATGTAATCACAAAGTTGACATATCAAAAGCGGGTTACAAAAACATTCCTACAAAATTTCAGGGGAAAAAAATCAGTTCATCTGGATGATAGTAGGATTTTAAAACACTTATGAGAAGAGCAAGAAAATATCAGTTCAGTAAATAATCTGCAATATTGAGACCTACATTCTGTCCAGAATGTGCTCTGCCACTGTCGTAAATGGCTGCCTGTACAAACTTCTCTGGTTTTGAGATTAGATTACCATAAAGCTCTCCCTTCTGGAAATTGTATAGTTACATATAAATGTTTACACTGCCAAGATTCCAAGTACTTGAACCCCATGCTTAGGAAGTTTTGCTCTGAGTCATGGATATGATCTGACACAGAAGCTGTGTTTTGGGGAGGAGCTGCCATGGAGCAGGCCCAGACCATTGGCTCTAACCTGGTTATGGGAAATCAGTTCTCTAACCTGGGTTATGGGAAAGTGACAGAAAAAGACTAAAACCAGACTTCTTCATGTTCTAATCAACTGTCATGGCCAGCAGATTGAGTTCACTTTGGTAAATTTCTGAACATACCTAATGAAAACTTCCCCTAAACAATCCTTAAATCCTCTTCTATTGCTTTTCTTCGAGTGTCACTGTCAAGGCAAATCAGGTAGCTTAGGATGCTTTACTTGTATGCGTTTCCAGGTGACTGACCTCTTGTTCTGTCTGCAGGGCCACTGACAGGCAAGGCACCACATCTGAAGGCACCAAATCCTCTTCTCAAACAGGCTATTCTGAGTTCTTGCATGTTCTTGAGCAAGCTGTCTGCCTGCTGCCATTTTACTGACCTGCAGTGCAGGTATCACTCGCATGTACTTTTTACATATAGTTTCCAGTAATAGTAAACATAGATATGTGAAGACATTGAATATTTTTCTCTATGCAAAATAGCTGGGACTTCTTAATGTGCAAAGTATTTTGTTCTTTACTGCTTGTATGTGCATTTTGCTGTTGAAGAATTAAGATGTACTGTAGAGTTCTTGAGGAATGCTTGTGATTAACAGTTTGACTTTTATGCCCAGCACGCTGTGATTTATTAGCATTCAATATTTCTGTATGATTAAAAATAGAAGACAAAGCTAAATATTTTGAATGTTTTTAGCATTAAATCCCCTGGTTTAGAGAACTGAAATATTGTCTTTTGCCTGGATAACTGATCTGTGCTAGAGATGTGGTTGTAAGCATCTGCAGTTCTGTAGCAAGGTGTCCTGTGAAACCACACTGCAGGCTGCTGAACAGTCAAGTTAGTGCTTTCTTGATAGCCTTTCATTAGAGGGGAGTCTAAAGAAATCGGTATATTTTCCAGCTGAAGTGGTGGATATAATCAGGTCAAAATGTAGACAAAATGGAAACCTCTTTTACCATGTTTTTCAGAGAAAATGAGATGAGAGTAATAATAAGCGTTATTTGTTTGAGGCACAAGAAGTAGTACTAAATAGCAAAAAGAAATCTTGGTCTGGATATTTAAGATCAATTTATCAGAAAAAAAAAAACTGGTGGAAGACTGGGTGGGCTGCCTATCCTTGCTTGACCTGTATGTGCTGTAGGTTAGTACCCTTCTATTAATGTCCCTTTTTTCATCTAAAAAATAATAGACAGGAGCTTGGTTTGCTCCTACTGAATCTCTTCCTGCTCAAATCTCTTTTGCTTGCTTACCAGGCTGTCCAGAGGCACTGTGAAAATGAAGCCAGTGAGATGCATTTGAATCAGTAGATATGACTCAAATATTCCAGTATTTTCAGAGATACTCTTAATACCTGGCTGCATGCTACTGCTTTTTGCTTTGAGGCATAAATTGATTACTGCAGAAATCAGAAAAGTGTTCTCTTTAGAATCTTTGCCCTCTGCTGTAGGGAAATGAACTGGACAGACATATGGCAGATAATTTTTTTATTCTAATTTTTCTGTTAATGTAAAGTTTATTCTGAATGCAATTACAAATTAGCAAGTACACATTCATTCTAATTGCATTTCATGGGACTATTTAATCTTCATAAAGACATCAAGTCTGCACAATGTCTGTGTCGTAAGCAGTGACTCATCAAGAGGAGAAAAAGACAGATCTTTCTGGTGCTCTGCAAGAGAGTAAATGGGTCTAATGAGGTAGTGGATCTTTAATTTTAAAATTAGTCTCCTTTGCAGAGTACCTTTAAAAACCACTGCTTCATTCTGACATTAGGTTGGAAATAATATCTAATAATTTATTATCAAAATATTTGGAAAAGTTTTGTTTGTCATACAGTTGAACTGCTTATGGGAAAGTGCTTTTTCAAGCAGTCTTACAGTACTTGTTTTTCCTGTAACTAAATATATTTTGAGAGAAGAGGATGTGTGCATAAAGTAGAAGAATAACCATCTTGCTGCAGTTAATATAGCAGGATGTATAACATTGTTTTTATAATTTCATGTTATTATTTATAAAGAGGTCTCTTATCACTAAGATGTACAACAAAGAAACTTCATACTGATCATGAATCTTTCTTGACTCATGATGAGAAAACTGCAGGAATGCTTCCAAACAAGCTTGAAGCTGGTTCTGTTGGGTCTTGATTATTTCTTGTGTCAACTGATTGCTAGCCTTTTTGTTCTTCTGGATCTAATATTAAAGGATGTGCTTGTACACTGCTAGCACCTTGAGCAGGAACCATGCAGGTGATGCTAAGATACTATATCAAAAGGCAATCCACTTTTTAGCAAGAGTAAAAGTAGTATGTGCCCTTTAGAAGAAGAACAGGTAGATCTGCTCTGTGATTAATTAATGCAGTGCTCTTGTCTGTATCTGAGCATACAAAATGAAATTTTCCTGCCATGAAAGAGGAAAACATGCATGCTTTATAAGAGGGACACAAAGGCTATTCATAGCGGGTTCATCCCTGCTCAGGGATATATCTTAGACTGAAGTATACTGCTGCCTGGGCAAAGTGTTAAATAGAGGGTTTAAATATTTTTTTTCATTGAGCCAAATCACAGTGGCACGTCTTACCACAAAGCTGAAGAGATGCTGTCTCAGTAGCTGAGGTATTGCCTCTGGACTGGTAGAAGAGAAGACAATTATTCACCACCCTTTGGAGAAGCTTGTTCTCTTGGGCTTAGTGTGATGCAGTCTGCCTCTTCACAGCTCCTGCCAGTTTGAGACTGGCACTCAACCACAGTGCTAAGGTATCCAGGCAAAAGGTTAAACTGGAGTCATACTCCACAGTTCCTGTGAGTAGCACAGAAATAACAAAGTAGTATGTTTGAGCATGTCTTCAAATCTGTAAGAGTGGAAAAAATCTGAAGTGTACCCATAGTGTTTTTGAACATGCTGGATAAATACAGAGAATCACAGGGCTGCATGACCTCTTCCAGAAATTCACATCACAGCAGTTAAAATGGTTATCTGTTTAGCTGCTCATGGGCAATATTGGTGGTAGGTGGACAGTTGGGCTGGATGATCTTAGAGGTCTTTTCCAACCTTAATGATTCTCTGATTTTAAAAATTACTTTGAAACAACAAAATTCTATAATTGAGTGTTGCTGGGGTTCTATTTACTTATTTATTTTTTGGTGGCTCAAAGTTTTGCAAACTCCAGTAAAACAAAATAAGCTGAGTTTTGTAAACTGCAGTCCTACTTAATGACTTTTGTTCTGAAATTAGGAAAATTGTTACTTGGCACCTGGATCACAAGCCTGACTTCACCAAGGTAATGATTTGTCTGAAATACTTTTTCCATAGGATGTATGCAATACTCATCTGTTCTGTGATCTGAATAATTTTCTGTCCACCACTCATCTGCAGTAGCTTAGCTCCCATTTACAGGCACAAGGAGTAAATCCAGAATCTTTTTTTCCTAACTGTTCTACTGGGGTAAGTAATGGAAAGCTTAATGGCAGCCTTTTGCACAGGAGAGACATGGAGCTGTTGGAGTACATCCAGAGGAGGGCCACACAAACTGATGCAAGAGATGGAATTACCTCCCTTATGAGGACAGGCTGAGAGAGCTGGGGCTGTTCAGCCTGGAGAAGTGAAGGCTCTGGTTAGACCTGAGAGCAGCCATTCAGTACCTAAAGGGAGGCTGTAAGAAAGAAAGGGACAGACTTTTTTTAGCAGGGTCTGTGATAGGTTAAGGGGAAATGGTCTCCAACTAAGTGAGGGAGTGTTTAGACTGGATATAAAGAAAGTTTTTTTTGGTGAATGCCCTATCCTCAGAGATTGTCCCCTGTTCATTGCGGAGGAGAGGAATTGGACAAGATGACCTTTAAATGTCCCTTTCAATTCAAATAATTCTATGACTTTGATTCTATGTTTCTGTATTCTGAAGCATGCTTGGAGACAGGCCTATGTGAAGATGCAGAATGAGTATTTTGCTTCCTAAGTGCTGCTACTCTTTCTTTTGTGTATGTCCTTTATGAAGTACCAGTGAGGATGTCAGCATATGGTTCTGCTCTTTGAACACAGAAAACATAGCACTTAACACTGGGGATTTAAGATCTCAATTCAGCTCCCTGTTGTGTATACTTTATACTACTGTCTGTAGTGACATGATCGTGTTTGCTTTCTTCTGCACTCATGCTCTTCTCCTTTCCACCACCTTCCTGCTTTCACCAGAATGCCTCTGCCCTGTTGATAGCATAGATAGTTTGGGCAGAATGAGTCAGAGCTCTTCAGTAAACAAACAGACTATTAAATTTCCCCTTTCCTATGCTTAAAAAGAATAAATTAAAAAAAAAAAATGACAGCTATGTTTAAACAGACATCTTGTACTTGTAGAAGTGGTTTTCAAAAGGATCTTAAGCCAGATGAGTTACTGGAAAACATTGAAAGTTTAAAAAATGACTGTCCAGAGAGACTGATTAAAAGCATTAGGCCATTAATTTAAAAAGCTACATATTTCTGAGACACAGTTGCCTCTGGATAGAGAAAAAGCTAAAAATATCTTTTAAATGTTGAAGTAAATACTAGTGAAAAGTGACAGGAGAAAAACATTCTTTATGATTATAGGTGTTGTGATGTAGAACAGGATGAAAATATTTGTTTAATCTAAACACGTGTATGACATGTTATCTTTAAAAATGCTTGAGTCTTTTTGGCATGCTGTTACAGCAGCATATGGAGTGATAAATGTGCCACAGTTTCTCAATTCTGCCCTTTACATTCTAATTAAAGGAGAAACAACCCACCTAACTGACTATTTTCCAGAAGGAGAGATGGTGAAATTTATAGTAGTTTGTGAGTTGGAGCTTTCTCTCACTTCCCCAGCACAAGACCTTAGAGAACGGAATCTATTTCATAACTATCTGGTATGGGTAGGAATTTTTTAATGAGAAAAATCTTGACAGAAAAATATCACAGTTTACTTCTTATCCTGATACAGGGCAAACAATGTAAGATTTTTTTTTTAATATTTTCTAGTAATGGTGTGTTTTGGACAAGCAAAAATCTGATTTTTTTTCTCTCAAGGGGCTAATTTGGATAATAATTCTAATCCAAAAGAAATAACTTTTCAGTTTTGTTCAAGATTTCTGCATGTAAATCATGTACTTTAAAAAGAAAATATTCTCAAAAGCAATTCTATACATATGATTGGGGTTCATTCTGTCTCAAAAACACAGAGTAAAAGGGAGCTCTTGGTGTTCCCATTACTATGCTTCTGTTAGCTGTAATTTGTGAAACTAGATGTCTCATTCCAGGAGCTGGATTTCTGTATGGACTTCAGGAACACACACAAAAAATGAAGTGTAATAGAGCATATAGATCGTTAAACTAGTGATAAATAAAACATTGCCAGAACTAAAAGTAGCGTTGCAGTTCTCAGCCTTCTCCCCAGAGAAAGGGAATTGTAGAAGAAATGCATCTGGGGGTATTGGTTGATACTTGGCTGAACACAAACCAGCAGTGCGTCCAAGAAGGCCAGTGGCATCCTGGCTTCTATCAGAAATAGTGTTGCCATCAGGAGCAGAGAGGTGATCATCCCTCTGTATTCAGCTCTGATGAGGCCACAGCTCCAGTACTGTGTTCAGTTTTGGGCCCCTCACTACAAGACAGACACTGAGGCCATGGAGCATCTTCAGAGAAGGGCAGTGAAGCTGGCCAGGGGCCTGAAGCATAAGTATTATGAAGAGAGGCTGGAGGAGCTTTATTTAATCTGGATTGGGGGGGAATTTATTACTTTCTACAACTACCTGAAAAGAGTTTGTGGCAAGGTGGGGGTTCAGCATCTTCTCCCATGTAACCAGCAGTAGGATTAGAGGGATTGGCTTCAAGTTGTGCTGGGGGAGGTTCAGGTTTGATGAAAGGAGAAACTCTGAGAGAGTGGCCAGGTGCTGGATCAGGCTGCAAAAGGAGGTGGTGCAGTTGCCATCCCTGGAGGTGCTCAAGAAACATTTCCATGTTGTACTGAGGGACATGGTTTAGTGGGAAATATCAGTGGAAGGTCAACAGCTGGGCTGGATGATCTTGGAGGTCTTCCCAGTCTTGGTGATTCTATGCAGGTCCCAAGCTTGAAGTTGTCATTGCTGCCCCTTTTTTTTTTTAATTGCCTTTCAGATTTTGGCCAGCAGTGTTTTACAGCTGCTCAACCATAAGCTTTTATCAGATGTAACCTCAGCCTCCCATTTGCTAGAGAGGTCATTGTGTTCCAAAACCAACTGGATTAACTTCTATTAAGTCATTTAATTTTAAAAGCAAAATTACTTACACTTTGTCTTCCACAGCAAGTACTTTTTATTTAATAACTGCTTCTTTCTCACTTCATAGAACTTTCTCAAGCATCCCACCTTTCAGAATTGGCATTCCTGATTGAAGATTCCCCATTTATCAGTCTGCTTTTTCCATATTCTTTACTGTTGTTTTTTTTCCCTTCTATTTATCATTTCCAGTTTAAATAGTCTGGGGTGGGGCAGTGGGAAGCTGCAGTTCCTCAAAGTATTCTTGGTAAGTGCTAAGTACTATAACATCTAGGTTCTTCTCCATTCTTTCTGTAATAATTCCTTATGTTTTGATTGCTTTCTCATGTTGATTTCATGTTTTTCCAAGAACTATCAGAATGTTTTTCATGTTGCCTGAGGGACAACTAACTTTAAATGTGTAACTGGATAAGCAAAGCCTTTTTTCTTGAGCATGAGTTGCTTTGCACTTGCTGACACTGTATTCCATTTTGTCCATCAGTCACCCACAGAGATCCTTGAATTGTGCTTTAGATTTTAGTACACTGAAAAACTTGTGGTTTTTATTGTATTACTGAATATTTCTGCAAGCACCAAACAGTGCCAGCTCCACAAAGCATGCTTGGTGACCTCATTATTAATATTTCTTCTTTGTGAAAACTGTCTACTTACTGCTAATGTTTTTTGTTAATTTGTAAGAATACTTTTTCATTCTAGTTTTCTTTCTTGAAGAGCCTTTGGTGAGGTATGAGAGATTTGAAAACTTTCACTAATACAATGTATTTAAATAACTTCAACAAAAACAGAGGTTGAATTCTTTATTAGCTTCTGTCTGTTGGCTCTATTTTTTTCATGAGTATAGGGAATGTGAGCATGTTTAAAATTACTAATTGCATTATACTTGTGTAAGCATCAATTGTTTTTTTTCTTTTTTTTTTTTGCATCCTGAGCAAAGGGATTATTCAGGAGCTTTCTGTTTAACTTAGTGTGTTCCAGGGGAACTTCGTGCTCTCCTTAAGTAGGTGTCTTCATTTGTTTTTTGTCTGCTTTGGGTCTTGCATGCCTTGTGATGTGGCTTAGATTATTTTTAAGAAAATAAGAAATGCACAGGATGAGCTAAATAGTTGAAATAAAAGATCTGCAACTATGGTACTTGAGGAGAAGTCAATTAAAAAATACAGCTCCTGAAACAAAATCCTAATGCAGGTTTTGATCTGACATTGAATAGAAGAACTAAGTTCTCTTAACTTGTATATACCATGTTAAATATATAATATACAGATAAATAATCTTACAGATGAGGTGGTGATTTTTCATATTACATCTTTTCTTTTGTAGCTGGTTGCTAATATTTAGATTGAGCTTTTACTAATGGAAAACATGTATTGTTACATAATCCATTTTGTCATGGTAAGGATGGGATTTTTGAGCAAGAGTAATGAAAAGGCCAGTCACTGTGCAGAGTTTTCTCATCTTCCTTTGAGTTAAGAGAGCAGGAGCTACAAAATGGGGGATATTATTTCTAATTTTAGCCTCTTTTTTTTCCTTCAGCAATGTGTGAGGTGAGAAGGACCAGGCTTCTCATGGCAAACACAGCATTTGCTCAGTCATTTCAAATCACTGCAGACCTGCAGGTAAGGCTGCTTCTGCAAAGCATTTACCTCCATTTATGATCAATTACAATTGTCAAATTGAATACTTCACAGGGGAAATACGTGTTACAACAACGGGAACGTGGGAAAACCTAATAGACAGGAGGCATGAAGGGCAAGAAAGATCACACGCACTGGTAACCCATGCTTGGAGGGAGGCAAGCTGTTCTGTGCAGCAGATGTTTACCTCTGGCAGCTGTAAAGTAGATCTGCACATTCCAGTCACTTTAGTTATATCACAAAAAAACCTACTACTCTGAGCGTAGTTATGTTCAATCAGAAATACAGGATGTAACTAATTTTAATTTCAAGTACATATTTTAAAATGAATGTCAGAGTTGGATAAATAGCCTCTTAGCAATCTCTGATCAATTCATCATCTGGAGACAGCAATAATTTGACTCATAGGTAGGTACTGCTTTAATGCAATAATCTCTCTAACTAGAAGATTCCTAACTGTTTTTTAACTAGGCTTTATTCTTACAGAACACTCTCCAAGTGGCATTCAGTGGGAAGGAAATTAGCAAAATAACGTGGATCAGAATATGACTGGCAAAATATTTCAGAAAAACATTATATGTCAGTGGAGTTCTATAGATTTAGTATTCATATTTGTCAAGGACAGCTTACAGACGAATGTACTGTTAACTAAGTCTGTCTTCATGGCAACAGCCTACTTTTGAAAAATAGGCTGGAGGTATAAAGTAATGAGTTATATTGGGACACACATGAGCTTTTAATCTTAAAATGTATCAGAACCTCTAGCTAACCTGCTTCTTCCACAAGTTCAAGCAAACATCCCTTTTATCCTACGTGCCAATCCTCTCTCTTCAGATATTTCTGCTTTAGTAGAATCCTACTTCATTGCTAGGACAAGAGGCAGTGGGCACAAACTGGAAGTCCAGTACAGAGGAGTCACAAGCAGACAATAATTGTCAGTATAACTAGCTTTGGTTTGTGCAGAGCCTCCTGTCACAAAATGAGCTGCAGTTTCATTTTTTGTGACACGTCAGGTTTATTGTTGGTGTAATGTATTGGGTCTGCATATACCTGTATGTTTCCAGTCAGCAAGTCACAGAAAGCAATGACAGCCCTTGTCAGGTGAATTAGCCTGTGTTGTGGATTCTTAATCTTATAAATATTATATATTACTTCAGAACTTGTTGTGAAGGTTTTTTTCTGAGGAATTGAACACAGAGCTTAACAAAAGCACAGTCTGCTGCTTTCTGCTATTTAACCATCTACTCAGAGGCCAGGGATTAGAAGGCAGTTAAAAACAATTTTTTTTCTAATTAAAGATTCAGACCAAATTCCAAAACAGCTCAGATGTTTTTGTTGCTGTACTTTGTGTGTATTGTAGAGGAAAGCAGAACTTGAAGGACAACAAATCTCAGCAGTCTAAAATTACCAGCACAGGCTGCTTGGCTTCTGTACATCAGGATGCAGACAAAACACAGGGCAACTGAAACACCTGCTGGTGTCTTCTCTGTTTACATCTCTGAAATAAGTCTGATTGCAGAATAAGTGTTTCCACAGTACTTAGCTGAACACTGGCTTTCTCTTAGCATTTGTGTGTGTGATACTAAAATAGCTCTAATTTTGTAAAATTAGTAGTGGTTTCATGATGCTTTAATAAGAACTGAGTCTGTTTCCAAGCTTTGTTGCATCTTACTGTTGGGAATCTTGGGGATAAAAAAAAATAGAAACAATTTTCATTTTTAGTATAATCAATCTCCTTTTTCTTGAAAAGTCAAGTTCTGTTCAAAACTGTTTGAAAAGGCATTAGCTACTAAGATCACTTTCTGTATGTTCTTGCCTCATAGGATTTTCTAACAAGCTATGCATTATGTCTTTTAGCTAAGAAAAACTTGAAGTGTCATAGCTTGTCTTATAGGATGACTTGTGTATACTTAAATTATGATTTCCCTCTCTAACAGGAATATTGGGTAGGGAGAAAGAAGTTGGAAAGGATACTGATTTAATTAATACAAATGGAGTGAAACTGAAGAAATACTGTCCAACACAGGCAATTGAATGCATTTAAATATATTTTACTGCTACCCTCGCTGAACTCTTGAAAACAGAGCAAAACAATGAGAAATATATTTGTTTTGAGGACAGAGAGATTTGGCTGAGCAAATCTTATTGGTAATACATAAACTGCATCTATCTTCTAGCTCTATAGCACTGACAGCAGCTATTCTGTTTCTTGCTCAAAAGTGCCTACTCTTATCATTGTTTAGAGTTTATGTTGATAAAGTGCTTTTGCTCACCCAGCACTAATATACTAGGATAACCTTAATCTTCTTAAAGACTTATGTTGCAATATAATGTGACTCAAGTAAGAACCCTGGGATGATGGAGTAATAAGCACTGAAGGGAAATGAAGGTGGTAGCTCTCAGCAGAAGCAGTTTCATGACTATTGTAATATATGAATAGCTTTTGGACATTATTTTATTATTCCACTTCACAAAGTGCTGGCTACCAAGGTACAAGCGTTGTTAATATTTTGATTTGTAATTTCACTGGCTGAGCACCAGATATTCTGGAGCTTTTCACTGCTGTGAGTAAAGAAATGTACCTGCACAGCATGCTCTGTACTGCTGTCTAACGACTGTTATATCCACCAGAGCTGCCTCTTTATGAAGTCTGTCATCGCTTGGTCCAATTTCATACAAAACAATATTCTGCTAGATCATCTTTTACTAAAGGATGTGGGAGAGATTCAAAATAATAAATGAAAATCTGTGATAGTTAAACTAAATTTTCACTTTAGTAAGTACCAAACTGAATAAGGCAGTGAATGATAACGAGTGGTGGGAACCAATCATACCTACAAAGAGAAAATGGCAGTAGTGAGCTTTTTGCTTAGTGCAATATGTGCTCAGGTCGAATTGCCTCTCATTTAGAGAAAAATGAAAGAACAGCTATTAGCCTTCCATAGAATGCTAGGACAGTGCTACTGCTTTTGAGAACGTCTGCCTCCTTTCTGATATGCATATTAAGAACTGCGAGTAAATATTCAGATAATCATCTTGCTATTTTGGATTAGGCTTCTCAACTATACTGCGCTTGTTTTTTATCCTGGGAACCAGATGTGGAAGGCTCAGCCTTCCATAGAATGCTAGGACAGTGCTACTGCTTTTGAGAATGTCTGCCTCCTTTCTGACATATTATTGTAGTACTTGCAGCATTCATTTATAGCTAGGTAAACATGCATCTCTTTAAGAGGTTCATCTAACTTTTAAAAACAGGTTAAATTTAGATGTCACATGTACAGAGCTCATCTATTAAAAAAAAAATAAATCTGCTTTTGCATTTCTATCCCTTCAGCACTAAGATTCCAGTTTAACACTTTGTTTTTCTACCAGCACAAATTCCTTTTGTATGAATAATGACATATTTAATGTAGTAATGTTTAAATAAAACTAAAGCTCCTTCAATAAACATAAAGCAGATAATGAAAAAATTAAAAAGGAAATCTGGAAAACAAGGTGCACAGATTAGTAAACAGAATGCATAGTTAGAGAATTTCATTTCTGATAATTTGACATTTTGAGTAAGACCTTGTGCAAAATAGTAGGTGAAACTTTCTTTCATATATGACACATCTTTCTTTAGAGATGTCCTATATAAGTAAGACATAAAACAGCATTTTGTAATAAAAATATACACACTGTCTTTCAGTAGTGATTCTGTTAGGATTTCTCTCACTCTGAGCCTTCCTTATCCTACTATATCTGAACTTTCATTTTATCTACTGTCCTTATGCTATTTACAAGGGTGGATAGTGATAGCACAATGGGGAATGGTTTTAAACTGAGACACGGGAGGTTTAGGTTAGATATTAAGAGGAAGTTTTTCACACAGAGGGTGGTGAGGCACTGGAACAGGTTGCCCAAGGAGGCTGTGGGTGCCCCATCCCTGAAGGCATTCAAGGTCAGGCTGGATGTGGCTCTGGGCAGCCTGGTCTGCTGGTTGGTGACCCTGCACATAGCATGATACTCTCTTTAATATTATGCCACTAATCATGCTGAATGTATACTGAACTTTGTGCATATCTCCAAAATTAAGATTGTAATGCATCTCAAGAGGTCACATGGACAACTAGAATCCCCTTCACTCTCTGATGTTAAAAGCCAAAAATTCAACATGAATGAAAAATAGTTCATGTATTTCTGTTATTACATCATGACTATATCATATGTACCAGAGCAACCTTCTGGTACTCTCTATCCCTTTGTTTCTTCTTTAAAGTCAGGAATTTTACAGAAATGATGCCAAAGGTGAAAGAGAAGTGAAACAGATGTCAGAAGGATAGCATTCCAAACAGTCTTTCTATTGGTCTGGAATTACACTGTATACTGAAATCTGGTAAGAAGAATATCAAATATCGAAATGAGTTTATTGGTCCTTGCTGTTCCCTTTCTACAAAGCTCACGTGATTCTGTGTATTTGGTGATAAATATATAAAACAGTTGTCTGTTTTGGGTACTGAACATCTAAATTTATAATTATGCAGCCATTTAGTTTTCAGTATGATAGGTTTGCTTTGCCAGAGAAGACAGACTTACTCTGGTAACTTTGTTTGTCATCTTACTTTTCAACAGTGGGACTGAAAGAAGACTGCTCCTGGTTCATCTGGGATCAGATACACCTAAATCATTGCACTTTAATCCATTTTTGCTTGCAGAAGGAAGAAGAATTTTCAGAGCTTTTATAGTCTTTTCTATTGCTAGCATGTTTTGCTGTAGCATTTACATCTAGAACATTTTCAGGCCATCTGCAGCGAAGCTGTGTGCAAAAGAAAAAAGTCATTATAAACTACGTGTTCTTTATATAAATCTGTGAGTCCCTCCTATCATTGAGGTAGGTTTTTATCTTGTTTTTTTCTTACATGATGGATGTAATACTGCTGCTTATGTAACAATGCAATGAGTTTTTTTCATTGGAGGGAAAAACAAGGTAACCAAGCAACAAAAATCCTTTTTTGCTTTTAATGAAATTGCTTTCCTGCAGTTAGGATACTAACACCAATGCTTTTAGTAGTTGAATAGTGGAAGCTTCAGTGATAGCCTTCCCATTCTCCTTTAAACTTTTTTTTGTAATAATCAATTTGTAGATCAAATTGTAATTGTAATCAATTAGATTCAATTAGAATCAATTGTGTAGAGAAGCTATGGTGAAGCATTGTACTCAGATGCACCCTTCCAAAAAAATGCACTTATTTTCACAAGGATCCTGTCTTAGAATGTTTACTTGCATGTGCAGAATCTGACTATGGGATCAGGGCACTTTCTTTTGTTTTAGTAATGTTTTTCCTATTAATGCAGATTTTACTATAGGTGTTAGTGTTTAAGAACTTCACATTAGCACATGATGTCTCACCTAATTTATAAAATGCTTAAGCTGATGATTACTTCTATCCTCTATTTCTTTGTATCCATTGTTGTATTTAACACAATGTGACCATTGCTTGAGGTCACCAGATCCTCATGCAATAAAAATATTGTGAATCATAATTTATAAGCAGTCAAATATTAGAAACACAAAAAGATTGTAGAAATGTAGTGAAATATCTTTGCAGGCAAGAATACTTACATCCAATTTCAAAGTCTGATGTTATCAAGTAACTGTTTTGGTATTTATTACCAAAAAAATACTATATTTTGTTCAGATAATTCAATAAGTATATTCTTGGTGAATTTTTTTTTGAGCAATGCTTTATATGAAAATGTCTTAGTTGATACATCAAACTCAACAGAGCCTCCAGTGCATTGTTGTTGTTTCCTAATGATCCATGTACAAATGCTGAATGAATTAAGAAGCTCACAGGCTTTATAGCCATGGTCAAATCAGTGCTTCCTGGGTAAGACGGTACTTTATTCTGCATGGTCAAGGGGCCATGTAAAATGCCTGAGATTCAATTACCTCAGCCTGCTGTTGATTTTCTTTCTTCACAACAGCAGGAAGCGAAGTCTGGAATACAGCTCCTTAAAAATAGGCACCTTTATCTGCATAGGTGCATCACACACTGATCACAAAACTGAAATAACAGTAAGAACTATGTGAAGAGAAGCTTTTATGCCCACGTTAATGAAATTAACAGGAAAGGTTGGTGCTGCCAAGGGAGTTGGGCAGGTTCTGTGTCTTGGGGCCTTATGGGTTTGTGCTGCGAACTCACCCTTGTCTGTCTTCTCCCTTCTAGTCAGCAGATGTATGAGGAGGACAAACCTTGGCACTGCCAGTTTTCAGATATCCAGGTGCCTGGTATGTGTGTATCATTTCCGCATTGAAGTAGAAAGATCCTGACTTGAGGAAGCAGGATAAGAACAAAGTATTTCTTTCTATAGCTCTCTGAGGCTGCACAAGGAGAGTACCAGGGTGGAATATAGGCAGCAAAGATGGGAGGCAGGACCCCAACTGTCCTGGGGTGAGGGGGGTGCAGGTTGGGCTGTGGGCACCTGCTGAGACACCTGTACCTGCAATGTTCCCCCCTTCTCCAAAGACAGAAAGCGCCCTTGTGGCACCTCCAGCAATGAAAGACTCCCAACAAAGCAAGGGCCAGTCTTCCAAAGATACTTCTCCCAGCCTTGCTGAGATATTCAGTGTTAGTGGTATTTGTGCTCTCTCTAGAATGCTACTTCAGTAGGTGAGAGATGATCTGGATATGTTGGGAGGGAAATGGCAGGAAAAGGGTCTGTGTCCATGCATTTCACCTGATGAGTTCTCCTGGGGCTCCCTACAGCTTTTTGCCTGTGGTGGGTCCTTCTTGGATCTAATGAGCTCCAGGTCTTCTCTGTTCTGTGGCTTCTTGCCAACAGTCTTTTTCAGAAGGTGGAAGGGAGGAGTGGAACTTGGGATTCCTCCTCGAGGCCGTCAAACGCATAATCAAGCTGGCAGCTCAAAAAGTGAGGACCTGGCTTGGATGTGGAGACTTGTGCCAGTAGAGTCTTGAGGGATCTTGGCTTGGAAGCTGAAAAAGCAATCTCAGCACTTCTAGCCAGCTGGGACAAACTTTTACTCTCTGCAGCCACACAGACTCATCTGCCAGGAGGGTCTCTGAGCTGTGCCTGCATCCTCTGCTGGGCCCAGATGTGTGGGATTGGCTACCAAGGCACAGAAGCTACTTCTGATGGGGGCTGTTATGCTCCTTCCAGCATTGCTGTTTGTGGCAATATTGAGGTTGCCATCAGCTATGTAGAGCCAGGGCGTGGACAGATCTTACACCCACCATATGCTCTGGAGGATGCTTGAGTCACCCACTTCTTTAGGCTGTACAGGTAAGGGCTGCCAGCATTGGCAGCAAGGGCTTCCTCACCCCTACCCCTCACCTGCCAGCATTGGCCATGCTAGCAAGTAACCCCCAGTTCTGCTTCCTATCAATCTGTGAGAGCCTGGATGGGGTTGGAGGCTCCTTTATGCTGCCTCTGCCCTCATCACCTCAACTGTGGAAGGACTCACCTATTCATCACTTTGCCCATCCATCTCATCTTCCCATCATGTTCTTCTGCTGATTTTTCTGGCTTCCCCCTTATAGCCTCCAGTGCCAACTCTGTGATTGCTGACCCTGGCAGTGAAAGTCAAACAGAGGCTGTCCGCAGCTTCCAAATATCCAAGAGTGTCAGCCTCACCACCACAGCCCAAGCAGCAGCAGGGCTATTTTGCAGCTTGTGGGCTTGGCTGTGCGAAGGTCAGTGAGGCCAGATTAGGCTGCATCAAAGACCTGGTCACACACAAGCTAGATGCCAGTGGCATCATCTTTGGCCCTTAAGATCCAAACTTGTCCCATGTAGCTGTTGGAGTAATAACAGCAAAATCATCTGACTTCAAAGATTGTGGAGGTGGTTCCCAGTTTTCCTGTAGAGCTCAGTCTCTACCTTTTCCTCCCCACTGACTGCCCAATACCCCAATGACCACAGCAGACAGGAGGGAGCAAAGAGTTGGATTTCTGCTGCTGCAGTGATGTATTTTCTTCACTGTCCCTAGAGAAATGAGGTGCAAGCATGAACTGAGGCTGGAAGCGTGGACAAATCAACGCAGTCCTTGTTCTAAAGGTGCTTCCAGTCTTCTCTGGGTCACATGTTTGCATGTCACTTGCCCTCATGAGCTGCTCCCTGGTTCTTCAGTCAGTCGCAGTTCTTTGCTGCACCTCTTCCTCAGTTGTACCACAGTGCAAACTATTTTTAGGGATTTCCTCTCATTAACTTTTTATTAAAAATCATAAAAAAGCTTTAAAAGTTAAACACTGCTTGAGTAGAAAATTGTTATAAAATAGATGAGAAGCAAAACTGGTAGGTATTGAATAGGATCTAATGGAAATTAAATATTTACAGAACTGTGACTCAAGAGCTGTACGAATTTTTAGGTGGGCAGAAATGATCTCCTAGATGGCTTTGATCCAGCAAAGCACTTAAGGCACAGGATGATTTCATGGAGATAATTGAGAAAGTGTGTGTGTGAGTGCTTTGCTGGACCTCGGCCTTGAAAACATTACACCTTCATCTGAATTCCATTTTTAATTTTTATGTAAGGACACACATCTTAACTGCTTCATTGCCTTTATATTCTGACACCAGCAAGAGATTGGTGTCAATCAATACCTACAAATTGAAGTCAAGGATGATTTAAAAAAAATAAATATTTAATAATTATCCTTAAGAGGCACTAAGCCTGTCCCATTTGTAATAAGTGACTTATGGAAACAAACTTACTTTTGAAACAAAGTGTACTAGTATGTTCTGTTCTGTGATGATCATCTTGAGAAAACCCACAAGTTTTAAAAGCTTTCTTGAGTCCCTTTCAACTATGTGAGTTCATAGATCTGTTTCAAGGGGAATTATTTCTGAGACGTGAAATTTTACTTAAATAATTCTACTTAGAAGAGAAAAGGTGTGGGATATGAATTGAAGAAGTATGTATTGCTCACTGTTTTTCTATCCACACCTGGATGTGACTTTAGGAACAGTTTTTTTGTTTAGTTCCTTTGAAGATAATAGGGCTGGAACAGGCTGCCCAGAGAGGTTATGGATGCCTCATCCATGAGGGCATTCAAGGCCAGGTTGGATGGAGCCCTGGGCAGCCTTTGCTAGGGGTTGATGACCCTACCCATGGCAGGGGTTTGGACCTGGATAATTCTTGAGGACCCTTCCGACCCAAGCCACTCTAGTGTCCTGTAATCATCCAGTATTTCACAACACTGGTTATTACTGAGTCATTCTCTGTTCAAATCTAATTGGATCAAAATAATTATCCTTACTGAAATTATCATTAAATTATTTTTTTATATCAGTCAAATGACTAAAATGTGAATGATTGATTTTTCACAATCAAAACCTTAAAATTTCATTTGATATAAAAGCAGAGCACAGAGCTATGAAAATTGATATATTACAAAAAATTCAGATAGATTTAGTCATAAAATGATGATGATGATTTATAACAAAAACAAAATCCATTTAGTGACGCTCAACACATGCATGTCAATAAGCAGCTGTTTTTGGCTTCCTGACCTAAACTTATGCAGAGTGTTCCTATACAGGAAGGGGGAAAGTACAATGGAATCAATCCAGGATGGCATTTGGTATGCCATGACTGCTGCTCTGTCAAGAATGAGGTGCCTGTTACAATTGCTCAGCCTTAAGATTTTACTTATACAACATGATTATTATGGGGAGTAGTGTTCAATAATCTAGCACTGAACCCCCAGTGCTGACTTGAGATTTCTATGAGCTGCTTAAGGGCTGAATACAGAATTTTTCAAATTTCAGTAATTTTAGAAAAAACCTAATTTGTCTTTCTCAATATATTTCCTGGTCCATGTCCCTGGTACATTGTGTATTTCATCTGCAAGCTCTCGTAAGGCCATTTTCTCTGTTGTGGGTTGTTGGTTGGTGGTTTTTTTCCCCCTATGGAGCAGGGCAGAATTCAAGAAGATTTATTGGATCATCATCACATTTTTAAACAACTTGCCCAAAATATATTCCCATTATAAAATATGAGCTGTTGACTTCTCTTCAGAAGAGGCATCATGACTGGAGGAAGAGCAAACCTGAAGTTACTCTGTATATTCTCTGAATAGTCCCTGAAGAAGGAAAGTGTAGATGTGATAGTTAAGGACGTGGTTTTGTCAGCAATAGTAGTGGACAGTTGGACTAGATGACCTTAGAGGTCTTTTCCATGATTATGATTCTAGGAAAATGTTATCATTGCTTAAAACCCAGATAAATCTTTTTTCCCCTGCTTTACACCACCTATATCAAAATATGTATGTTTAATGAAGCAACCATATTAGATTTCTAACAGGAGAGTCATAAAAAGAAAGTGAAATAATGTAATTGGGCTCGAGTTTCTCTTACGGGAGTTTTGAGATGTTGTGAAAAGATTGGATTAGTCCCTTTTGGGGGGTGAATTGAGTGGGGGGAAAAAGTGTGACTACTGAGGTCACAATCTTCTTTTGTGTTTTAATGGATGGCATGATGGTATGTCCTAAGTTTATGAAAAATTATACAATCTGATGAACCAGTAAATACAAAGACCTAGCACTGAGTGGTATCCATAGGATATCAATGTTTAATAATGTGTCGTCGTCTTTGATTGGAAATAAATCAGGGTTTGGAGATTATTTTTTTTCAGAAGCCTTTCTTTGTTTGTTGCATAGCTATTTGAGGGCAGATTTTACCTCCTTGTTTTTCATAAATATTAGCATTCAATTTGCATTAAAATATGAGATTATGACTGTACTCATCTGAATCTATTACTCTTAGTGGTAGGAAGTCTGCCAGACTATCTTGTTTGGATGTTTTAAAGTAATTGACTGTACAGTAAGGTTATCTGCTTTTTTTAAATATTTATTTTACTGGCATTACCCGTGCAGGAGGATGTGCAGTATGAACAGCTCTATTTCAGAATTACTTCTTCACTGTGTCATGTATTTTGCATTCTTTTTCACTGAGCTCAGTAACCTAAAACTTCCTCGCTGTCTGGTTTTATTTGTATATAAATATCAAACTGATACAGAATTTCACATTTTGTCATCGTGACAATACATGAGATGTGAGTACTCAGTGCTTTATTGCTTGTAGTCGAGCTTAAGTAGTATCTGTAAGTTATTATTACTTTATGTAGCACACAGCTCTCTGAGTTCTGGCTTGTTTTTAGCAAGCTGTTTTGACTTGCAAACAAATCAGTCAGTGCCATGTAAACTGTGCCCAATCCTCACACTGGGCAAATCGTGCCCAATGAGCTAACAATGAGCTAAAGCTTCCTGACATATTTGTCAACAATCCTGAATGAATAATGTTAAGTCTACTGCTGCACAGATTTTCAGTAAAAGACGGGTTGCTGGAGTGGTGGTGGTTTTCTTTTCTTTTTTTTTTTTTGGGCTTCATTTATAGATTATAATTCTTAATGCATAAAAATAGTTTGAGATTTATACTGGTTTTTAATCCATTGTTACTTATCAGGACTCCTTGAAAACAGTCAATATACAGAATTTTTGGCACGCTCTTTGATTTTGGTTCCTGCAGTCTTTGGAACAATGACCCAGTGCAATCAGCTGAAAACTAAGAGCCTGCAGCTGTGCCCTTAGAAATATGTCATTCATAATATGACAGAAATGTTAAACTACACATTTCTTAAACTACACATTTCTCATAAATTTTGTAGCAGCTATAAAGATTACTAAAGATAACAGTTCTCTAGCATACTGTATGATTCTACACATAGTAAACATCTTGCTATTTTCTGACTGTATGACTTTGTTTAGAATGACTAAAAAGTATAGATTAAATAGTCAAATACAAATGAAATTTCTTGGGAAGACAAATGCAATTCCACTGACCTTACAAAAGCATTATTTCACTAAATCTCATCCTCAGAAGCACACCGGTTCCATTCAATTAAATGAGTATTTTGTGATGACAAGCACTGGGAATACCCACAGCACATATGCAGTCTGTCTCTTAACCTGCTGAGTAGTAGAGAATAGGAATAGGCTTTTAGAACTCATTGGCTGAGGAGTAACTGAAATGCATAAGGAGCCCCTTATACACCATTACTACTGCAAATGCCTGTATGAACCTACTGATCTATGTGCTTGCTTATGTTTATCTCGCTGATAATTTTCCTGTGCTGTAGATAGCATGGTAGGGAAACAGGCCAAGCAGATACACATCTTTCATCTATCTGTATTTCAACACTTAAGGATTGCCCAAAATAATTTCTTTGGAAAAGGTACAGATCTCAGTACAAGCAAGAATTTCTTTCGCAAAAAGTTGAGATTTCCTTTTTTACTCCTATATTTATGTGATTAAAGGGCATTGGAAAGCAAGCAGATATTTGTTTGCCTATGTACTATTTAAAAAAGTAATATTTTGACAAAGTTAACAGCCTACCATGAAAACAAATGACTAAGTAGAGATCCCAAAAGCTTTGCTGAAACTCTTTTTCATCTGCATTGCTACATGGATCTTGTAAAGGACAAATATCTTGGTTTGGGAGCTCTCTGATGGCTGAAAAGCAGAAGTGTGAGTGAGGCTGGCTTGCTCACTAAATGCTGCTGTGGTTGCAGTGATCTTTACTTTGCACATGTTAGTGCAGTGCTGAGATTTTAAACATTATTTTTAAATACCTTTTAATAAGGTAGGTATCCTTAAACAGGTTGTTTTTCCTTAGGAAGGAGAAGAGTGAAAGAGCTATTGCAAAACTCCCTGTCCTTTATGACTTATCACACATCCCTCTGCATCTTTTGAGTCTGCAGTAAGTGATATCTGCTATAAAGCATGCAAGAATAACAGGGGGGGAAAAAGGGAGCTTTCTTTCAATCTTTAATTGCATTTAGCTTCTGAGAAAATAGGACTCCTGATGCTTTCTATAACACTAATGAGGGCTAAATACTTTTTCAGTGTTTTTTCTTATCATGAACATATTCAGTGAAATTGATCTGGACTGCCACTTCATAGCATCGTTTTCATCTGTTTCCAACTTAAAAAGAAAAAAAAAAGATTTCAGAGTAAATTATTTGGAACATGCTGCAATCAGACTTTTAACTGCTAACATATACCACGATGCTTGCAATTAGATGTCTGGGTTGTGTGAAATTAAAATAAATAAATAAAAATCGTGGTATCTAATGAGGCAATGCCAGAAACAAACTGTTTTTACACATAGATAAAAGCCAGTGGAGATTCCTGATTTGGGATTGTCTGCGTATTTTGCAAAACTTTTAAAAATACTGTGTTGTAAACATGTATTTTTTAATCGTGTAAACATGATTAATCACATTAGAAAGAGTTTGAGTGATTACTGAATTGAAGAAATATTAGAATACTTCATACTACTATACATGCTTTAGGAAAATCTCGCCAAAATGTAGAATGTTTCCATGCTGATCTCAAGATCATGCTTACATTCATGTCTTAAAGGAAAAGAAGTGCTAAGAGTAAGCATGAATACAGACACTAGTGGAAAATTCTATTTTTCATGGAGCAGTTTGTTTAAAGAGAGATTAATTAATCTTCATAGCAATTATTAGTAGAGACTGTTATGCAAGGGATTCTTAGAAAAGAGGGAAGTCAAGCTCATTTTGAAGCAAAGCTGACTGTAAGAACATAAGAACTGATTGTCAGTCTGAATGATTTATTGTGTCTTAAATGAAGCCATTGCCTGATGGCTTTTTAATTCAGCATTCTGTATTGCATCCTCTCATAGCAGAGTTAATTTTACCTCACTTGTCTTGATGGCAGAGAAAATGGGCATGATTGTAAACAGCAAGCAGGTTTGCCCAATTGCTATTACAAAACTTTCAGTTTGTTGCTAAAGTTTGAAACAGATTGACCACCATCCTCTGCTGAGTGACTGGAGAAATATCTGTAATGTAAACACCTGAACTTCTGTTTAAACATAGATTTTTTTATGCTGTAATTGTGATTAGAACTGACAGCACTTTTTTTCCTTTTGACAGGTGAAGATAATTTCTGTAGCCATAAAATATAGCTGTAAAATATCCCATAAGATGGGATACAAATGAGCACAACAGATATTGCAGTGTTC